CCTAGACCCTAAACCCTCAAACCCTTAAACCCTTAAACCCTATGCTCCGCTTTCTCCCAAGGCCATGGCATCGAGACCCCTTTCCATCGGGCTGGAGGTTGGGCTGCTGCCTCCACAGACTATTTTCAGATATAGGGTTTAAGGGTTTAAGGGTGTAAGGGTTTAAGGGTTTAGGGTGTAAGGGTTTAGGGTTTAAGGGTGTAAGGGTTTAAGGGTTTAGGGTGTAAGGGTTTAGGGTTTAAGGGTTTAGGGGTGGTATAAGGTTTTGGTACCCATTGGGGTAATATTAGGGCTATATCGGTGTTATGTTGGGGCTATGTGGGGATGATGGAAAATAAAAAGGAAACTACTATTTAGACACGCGCATCGCACGGCAGTGCAGGCTCGGCAAAGTTTCGGGTTTAGGGTTTAAGAATTAGGGGTACCTCCCAAGTTGCGCACTTCCACATGCGTAGTGCAGATTCTACTGCTAGGGCTTATGATCGGGATCCTGCTCTCGGATCGTTGTACTCATCTGCTGTTTCTTTGTAGGATAAACGGGGGAGGATGGCCGGGGCAAGGTAGAACTTGATCAGGAAGATACAAGGGTGAGCCGCCGCTCCAAAAACCTCAGGCTTCACGCAGAGGGTTTCAAACCCCCCTGCACCCCCCAAGAACCTCCTCAAACCTGACTCCACAATGCCTAAAGCCTGTAATTCCTGCAGATGACACTTTGCATTCTACGAACACCTAGTATTATTAGCAATTCCTCGTACTGTTCCTGTTACTATTACAACTATTGCTACTATTGCTACAATATTTACCATTGTTATTACTACTGTGCAGGGGCCAGGAAACGACTCAGACTAGGCTGCCCTCGGGTTGGCCTTGATTCATGCCGCCCAGAGGTTCGAGTCGTATGCCGGCCTAGCGCTGCTCAAGGTCTCAAGGATGTGGGTTCGTTTGCGGTTTCGGGGCTAGGGTTCAGGGGTTAAGGATTAGTAGGGATTAGGGGTTTAGGGGTTTACCTGGGGACTTCATGGAGAAGGAAAGAAAGGATAGGGGTCGTAGAAGATGTCTTTTGGGTACGTTGGCAACCACAGACGGATGGCACGAGTACCCTTCCACAGGTCCAACGGGTGCGGGCACACAAGCGTAGCAGACGGGTTTGATGCTGGGGACAATCTTGATCTTAGCTGCTGAGTGACATGGCCCTCAGGAAGTCAACCTTTCCACTGCAATAGGAGCCTAAACCCTAAACCCAAAAAATACATATCCATCCGCACATATCAAGAAAGGGCACAAGTTTTCTTCTAAGCCCTCAACCCCAAGCGCCCACAACCTAAAGCCAAATCCCTCAACCAAAGGTTCGAAACCCTGATCCCTAAGGCTCCCTCCCTGCAACTTCAAAACCCAAGACCCCCGAAATCCCTTAAAGTCCTAAACCCCCCAACACCCTAAACCCCTAAACCCTAAAACCCAACCCTAGAACTTGGGTACTGCCCCCACCCAGTAACAGCCTATATTAGGGGTCCTATTAAGGGCTGTATATCACCATACTATAGTTATTATCCAACTGTTACTGAGGGGGGGCAGTATCCAACCTAAAACCACAAATCCTGATCTAAAGGGCCCGCCTTGACCTTCACATGGCCTTTTCCTCCCAGCACCTGGCATGCAGCTTAGCGTAGCGTATAAACCTATTATTACCCCAATATATACCCTATTGTCCTACAATAGCTTCCATTTTCTTTTCCATTATCCCTATGTAACCCCAATATAACCCTTATTATAGTAGCTTCCACTTTCTTTTCCATTATCCCTATATAACCCCAATTTTGATCCCATATAACCCATGAACTGGGGACAAGCTGCTGTGGGCTTTACTTAAGGTGGAGGGCCCCTGGGGTTAGTTTACTAGAAATAACAACAGTAATAATATAGTAATATAGTAATGATATAGTAATAATATAGCAATAAAAATAATAGTAATGATAGTAATGATAATGCTAAGACTAGAAATGGTAATTATACTGTTTGTTGGGGAGGTGTTAGACTGTTGGGGTTGAGGGGTTTAAGGCTTAAGGCTCGGGGTTCAGGGGCGCCTAAATAGCTGGAATCAACGGTGCTAACGATTGTACTGGGCACTGCAATTTGGGAAACCATGCGTAATTGGCCCCACAAACAGGACCTCTAGTCCCCAGTAAGGCCTGTCTCCTAATGCGCCCCTGGCATCTGAATGGCCTCGTTGTGCTCGCCGAACCCTGCACACGGACTGTTGTGGAGGGCTCAATCTTGGGAACTCATATTCGAGGATTCTCATTTCCGGTTGTTAGTACTGCTGTTCTTCTGTATTGAGAATACCGTATCTTTGCTATTGTTGCTGTTATAACGTGATGCTGTTGAATTTGCAAGCATGCGGTTGATACTTCTTATCATCACTGTTGCTGAGCCATATCTTTCCACACATCCCACTTAAGATGACTCACATAATTTATTGTTGTGTTTTACCATTGCTAATTGTCATCATCACTGTTACTTGACCATATCTTTTAGACTCTATCTAGTTGGAGGTTTGTGCAATGCTCATCCTTCTTTCTGCCGCAACCACGCCTGCATTGTCGTCTGCGCTGGACCTGAGGGAGAGTGTCAGGGTTTAGGCACGCGCATCGCACTCGCAGGCACGGCCTTTTTTTCGGGGTCCCCGCAAAGCTAGCCAGCTGCAGGACTCGACCGACTGCCCATGCGTCCCGTAACATCCAATGCAAAAGCCAGCATCCTGCAGCCGGCACCTAACTATATTGTCCCGAACAGGTTCCAGATCACGTACGGAGATTCCACTGTTTAGGGGTCAAGGTTCAACGTTCTTCAGAGTTTGCCCATGGATGCCTCTGGAAGAACTCCACTGACATTAAGCGTCGCCTCCAACTAATAGGGAATTGAAGAGAACAGCTCACAAACTCTGAATCCTACTTGCTGAAAACGTGCTCTTTCACCCCCAACCTTCAACACACAACTTTGACTGAAGCCTACCGAAACCCCAAACCCTGAACCCTCCGCTTCTAGACCACTACACTGTGCACTCATGTGGGGGGATCCCCTAAGCCCTAAACTCCACGCCCCAAACCCCGGGTTAACGAGGCCACTTGAGCTATAGTCTAAACTCCTAGTATCCTCCTTAGTAAGCCCTATAGTAGTTCCCTGTATAATTCCCATTGAAACCTAAACCCTAAACCCAAACCCTAGACTCCAGCTGACTTGTCTGAGGCCGCGGCGCGGGTGCCGGACTGCTGGAACTGGCTGCCGCAGGGGGCCTCGGAGACAATCAAAACCATTCTGTCCGGCTCTGTGTTTCTTCATATGGTATATTCTAGCATATGATAGTATATAGTATATAGTATATAGTAGTGTATTATGGTCTGCTATAATATGTTGTATAGTAGTATATGGTAGTACCTTCCCAGGGACATCCAGCAATTTTATGGCTATCAAGGAGCCTGTGGTCAGATGCTCCGTACTTTTCCGTATGAAGAGGTTTAGGTCTGCGGGTTTCATGTTCTAGGGGAGATCTGAGCAGTGGATGCCTGTAGCGATCTCGCTGTCATATCCTGCTGCCATAAAAGAACAATACTTTATTTAAAGTCCCTTGCTAATTGCCAGAAACTGCGTTGCTGTTAAGGAACTTCAACTAAGCGAAAAGAATAAGGAAACCCTATTGTTTGCTATATACTGTATACCCAGAATGTCCTTAGCCAGGAAAGCGCTCACATACAGAATTTGGAGTTCGTCTCCTCTCGGTGCCCTGCCGCGCCCCAGGAAGCTCAGACGGCGAGCTCTTCTACGCAGGCAAATACAATGACACAGTCTTAGCGCAGCTATCTATATGGTATACTATAGTATACTATCGTATGTTGTAGTATATTCTAGTATATTGTAGCAGATCTATGCGTGTGTATGATAATTACAAACAACACACATACACCTGATCTCAGTGCACTATATGGGTGGTTGTCAAAATGATGGTGCCTTTTTGGATCCCTATTATAATAATATGTGGGGTACCAACCACCCATATGGTTTTCCCTTTGCTCTGCCGTCTGCACAGATTCCATGGACGCTGTAAGTCCGCCCTTGCCCATCCTGAAAGGCCTCGTCCTTCAACTTCTTGCTCTTTTTGTCCTTCTAGGGTTTAGGGTCGTAGGGGTGAAGGGGTCATGACGAGGCATTTGCATGCAAAGGACTGCTCTTGTCCTTTTTATCCTTCTTTTTCTTCTTCTTTTTTCGCTTGTCATCGCCTGAACACAAACCAAGCGATGCGCACGACGCAAATGCAAAATTCGCATCAGCTTTCATTTTCCAACATCATAAGTCCTCTTTGGGGACCCTCCAAAGGCCTAAAATTTCAGGGCACATAAAGGGGGACGACGATTCCTGGAAATACGTCATGGCAGGCTGAGTCTGCCACTGTCAGAGTCACTGCCGTTTTGAGCGGAGTGCTCAGAAAGCCTTTGTGCAAAGACATCTGTGGGGACTCAGACAAGCAGAGTAGCAGGTTTCTCGCCCTGTGGGGGTTGGAGGGCTCCAAGGTTGGGTAATGTATTAAGAATCTTGGTGTCTGTATCTTCTGGAGGTTAACAGGGATCCGCAGGGATTCATGCATAATACAGGGACTTACACAATTACCAATATCAGTTTGAGGTCCATTCGAGGTACCATATACTAGAATCACACACGGAATATGGAACCATAACATTGGAAATCATTTAGGCCCCTATATTACTCAGAAAAGGGGGCGGGCCTCGGTGAAGGCTTCTCATCCGGCCCGTCCTTTGAGAGATCAATGACCTTGGAGTTCCAGAAGCATATGAGCGACTGAACGTAGTTTAATAAGTATAGTCCCTAATGAGGAACCCATAATATTGAGTGTAGCTTCTATGACAACTCAGCTCATGTGAAGATGTCAGCTGTAAAGTTCGACTGGCATGTTGGGCAGTTAGCTTGATTGCTATTTGCCAGTTGCTCATTCGCAGCGTAACTCAACCTGAGTAGCTACTCGTGTGCTCCCCACCCATCCCTGTCATCAGTTGGAAGCTGATGTGGTCCGGTACTTCTGTTCAAAGAACAATAGTCTCTGTACAAGTGTCGGGCTTTCATGGAAGTTTGGGGGCATGTACCAAATCAAAAACCAGTCCCACAAAGTCTGAGCCGAAGGCCTCATCACTGGCTGCCTTTGCAAGCAGCTGTCCATGCGAACTGCGAAGCGCTTGGGCATCATGCAACTATAGCTGCAGATTCCTAAGCAGCCCCCTGCTCGTGACTTGAATGTTCTTTCCTACCCTAAATCCGCAAGAGATACCTCCTACAGGCCCTTAATCCTGCAAACCCTGAAGCTCTATCAATCGTATATCCCCTAAACCTTTAGGGGCCCTCAAACCTCAAAAACATAGATTCACGTTGGCAAACAAACCGTTACTAAGAGCCGGTCGCTGGCCGGCTTCTTGTCCGTCCTTGCAGCTCATTTTTGAGGCATGCTATTTCTTGGAACAACGTTCGGGCATATACTAGAAGGTGCGTACATTCGGGGACTGCAAGGAGATAATATTTCAAATTGTTCAAGGCCCTACTTACATCATGTCTGCTGACGTCGTACTTTTCCAAAGCTCATGCACTAAGCGCGCGGCCGCGACTTCAAGGGAGTCTCCCCATAGTCCGAACCTAAGCCCGGAGCCCTGTGAACAGCTGATTTCGCTGAAGAATTTGAGGAACTGCTGCAATGAGGCAAGGCGGAATAACTTGGATAAGCATAGAATAATGGTAATTGTATTGAACTTTATTTAAGGAGGGTGCGCCATGAGCCGCTGGGGAGCATACCGAACATGGAGCCATACCGAGAGCCTCCGGAATCCTCCGTAGAGCGGTTTCCACAAATTGGGGATCACTTATTAGGGGTCCCTATGCTAAGATAGTCTGTTGGAGTCTATTGACGTATCTATTAATTAGGGTCCCCCCAATTTATGGAAATTACCAAGTACATGACAATTATCTTGACTCTCTGTACATTTGCAGGAGTACACGACAAGGGGATCCTGATTTCACATAGCCGCTACGACACAAGCTTGACAAAGTCCTTGCTCGGATCCACGAAGCCTGGCGTCCCAGCTGTGCTTGACCTTAGTTGACAAAGATCTCTGGACTCATTGCAGAAGACAGCATTACGCAGCGAAGGGAGACGAGCAGTGCAAGCGTCGGGCAACAGACTGAAGTCCTTCTTGGGGGGTAGCGTCTACTGTGAACAGGTTTGAGGAAAAATACATCCAATTCAAGGATGAAAGCCGCTAATTGCACTCCCTCGCACAAACCAAGAACCTGAAATGGCCCCTTACAAAGCAAAAGCAACCTTTGTAAGGATCCAAGGTAGGCCACTCTCAGTCTCTTCAGTAAGGCGGGGGGTACAGGTAGAACGAATCATATTGGGATCCACCCCCAGTTCCCCAAACATCAGAATCTCTGTAATCCTACATAGCAGTACAGTATCTCCATTGACGGCTGCAAGCTTTGGCAGTCAAGCAACAGGATCCTAAAGGCCTTCATCTTCAAATAGAGGACCTGGCGACGCGTGGCTTCAGGGGTTTCGTTGATTTTTGGCTTTGCTCAATTCGGGTCTAGGGTGTAGGGGTTTGCATGGCATAGGGTTGGGGTTGAAGGTGTGGGGGGTGTAGAGTTTGGGGTTTAACGTTGGGGGCTTAGGATGTTTTACGGCTCAGGGTCTCTGCATAGACCCGAAAATACAATGAACCTCATCTCTGACACTAGCACACATGAGATCTCCGAATAGCCAAGCTCCCCAATCCCCTAAACCCTGTAAACTTTGTAAACCCTAAAGAGATAGGACCCATAAATCTTAACCCCAAAAATCAACCTCCTCCTCTTACCCACTTCTGTGAGGGCCCCTTCCCGGAATTGTCAACCCCTGGCCTCTACCCCATGTTCCAAAACCAAGGCCTCAAAGCCCCAAATTCCTCCAAGCCTCGCCAAACGCCTGTCCCTCATAATCCTCATGTAACTCTCATATAACCCACCCGGTGCCCCAAACCCCGAACTTATCATAATAACCCTCATGTAACTATAACATAGTCTACCCCGAACCTGTATCCTCACTTACACTCGGCTGGACAACATGCCTGGCACTTTGCAGGTCGCGGGTCGGTCCAGGTACTTTGCCTCTCCTAGGCAAGGCGTAGAGCTTCAACTTGGGTTCATGGACTGGGTTGGTGTTGGGGAACTTAAATGACGTAACTATAATCAGGGAATCCCATTCATTGTTCACAACATGCCCAGAGTATGATGAAATCATTCAAGTTCCGTAACAGCAGCGCGGTGCAGGATTTAAGGTTTAGGGCATGAAGATCCACGGAATTCAGGATTCAAGGCTTTGAAAGCTCAAGTTAGGTTTAGAGGGTGTAGAGACTATGCAGCTTTTCTTACCTAGCTCCAAAGCGCTACCTGGACCCTCCAATGTAGTACCTTTTTGGTAGTCCTATAAGTATCATAACCAAAGCAGGGCTTGGGTAAGTCCTGCAACCCACGTCAAGGAGCATTCAACACCAAGCCCTAGAATGAAATCACCCAATTGGGATGTAGCTTGGGCCGAAGGAATGATAGAACTATCTGGCCCAAATTACATCCTGTTTGGATGCTTCGCTCCCTAAAGCAAACTCCAAACCCCTACATCCTATTTGGCTACTTGGCTCCCTCAAGCAAACTCCACGCACTGCCTCCTTGTTGAAGTAGAACCTGTTGCCTTGCTCGTCCTGATGTTCGGACCTGGGGCGCTCCATGTACACAGGGCATGAAGACTTCACAGTCGTTTTTTATTTACAGTTACTTGTGATATATATATATATATACATACATGTCTGTGTATGTACATGCATACATACATACATACATACGTTTGCATATATCTGTGTATAGACATGTCTTGGGAGCTTCCATTTCCTTATCCACAGTGACACAGTGCATAAGACAATGGCGACTGACGTAAGAAACACATCCTTGCTTTCCCCAGTTCTAGTGGAACAAAGGAAGGAGACCAACCCTTTTGCATCTGGTTCTCCTTGCTGCCAGGCGGAAGGCCAGCACCCAACCCTAAACCCTAAACCCCTAAACCATGAGGCAGGCTCCACTTTGCCACTTCCTTTTGCGTCTCCTGCCAAAGCAAGACGATTGCACGAACGAGGCAGGTGCTGTCAAGGAGTCTAGGTGTTTCCTGAAAAAGGCCTTGTCCTTTCCTTTTCTTGACATACTCCTACCACACAATACTGGGAAGCACGGTTGGGGTGGACATGTTGTATTTTGAGGAGGGGGGAGTACATGATACCCACAAAGCCGCAGAATTTCAAGCATGTGTTCCGTGGCACATCTTGCCATCCTGAACCCTAAATGACAAACGTCAAACCCCAGACCCTAATCTAAAACTAAGCCCTTAACTCCTCAGCCCTTAAGCCTGAACTCAAAACAGTAACAACCGGCAACCCCATGGAAGCCATAATCTATCCCCAAATCCTAAACCTTAGTCGCTAAGCCCTAAAGCCTGGACCCTATACCAGTTAAACCCTCAAACCCTAAAGCTTCATTTTATTTGGGGATACTATGGTACCCCATACAGAGTAAGATTCTATCCTCCTTTTGGGGTATAGTATCTTATATAAGGAATATTATCTTCCTAGGTTCAACCACCAATGAAACCCGAAAGAAAAAGCTCGCCTGATCCATCTGTCTGACTTCTGCCTGTAGCTTTGACAGGGCTTCCGCTCGTTCCTGCCAGGCTTAGGGTTTATAGTCCCCCTTAAGTAGATAGAATATGACTTTGGGTATATTCTAATAAGATCCCCATATACCACATATTCTTTGTACTTAAGGGGGGCTGTAGGGTGTAGTCTTTTGTCAACCCCATCGACTCCGACTCCTTTCGCGTATGGGGTTTCGGGTTTAGGGGTATAAGGGTTAAGGGTCTACGGTTTAAGGGTTTAGGGGCTTGGGGCTTAGAAGTTAGGGTAAACCCTAAATCCTAAACCCTAAGCCCTAAACCCTAGGGGAGTCCGGGTTTAGAGAGCTTGCGGCTGCCAAGGCTTTGGGCTGAGAAGTTGAGCTGCGCGTAAAGGGTTCAGGAATCAGGGGTGATTTGCTGAGGGTTTATAAGGTTCAGGAATCAGGGGTTTAGGGTTTGGGGTGTATAGGGTTCAGGAATCAGGGGTTTAGGGTTTAGGGTTTATAGGGTTCAGGAATTAGGGTTTAGGGGCTTAACAGCGCAGGAGTTTGGCTTGGTCTTGAGTGGGAGTCCATAGTTATAAGGACTCTTTGCCTCCTTGCCAGGGATATTGAGCAGCACGTTTCAGGCCTTCGTGGTTGTTTGTGCTTCATTACCCATGCCTGCCATACAAGTTACTACTAGACCCTGAACCCTAAGCCCTAAACCCTCAGCAGGTGATCCTGGGCTGCCATGTTCGAGTTGCGCAGGTTCACGATCGTCTTGTACGTATCTCGATAGACGTGCTCCAGCGGATGCGTCCTGGTCATGGTACAGGTTTAGGGTTTAGGGGTTAGGCTACAAGACCGGAGGGATGTTCGTGAACTGTGAAGACGGATGATACCATGGCACATTGCAGTAACTGCTTCATGCAACAAACTTGCCTCATATGACTGACTCATATGACTCAGCAAGCAGAACTGTTTAGTGTTCGCGTTCTTGAGTTTGCCGAATTATGGGTCCCCTGTTTGGGCCCATAAGGCCCATAAGATGGATCTGATTCACATCGTGGACGTATGGAAGTCTCCCTAAATAGGGGGGCCCCAGTATATACGAAAAACTTGATTATGGGGACCCCTGACAAGGTACCCCTAATTTTGGGAAACCCTGATCCCTATGAATTACCGTAATCCCAGTTTCCATTTCATTTTCCATTTTCTTTTCCAGTTGATTCTCCATTCTTGTGGGTCATATACCCTAAGCCCTAAACCCTAAATCCTACACCCTAAACCCTAAGCCCTAAATCCCTAAGATTCATATAACACCCCTTTTGGGTAACATGCCCTGAACCCATTAACTCCCATTTCTCGCCAGACTCAGTGGTGGGCCAGGAGCTTACTCTCGTAGACGCATTGTAATAGAACACTCGGTCCTCAGCATGCAAGGCCCATGCCAGAAGCGTCAGCGCCTAGCCTTTGGTCCTTTTCCAGAGCTCCCTAGACTTGCTAGTCGTGAGTAGGGAATTAAGGACTACAATCCCTACATAATCTATTCCTTTATTGCTTACTAACCCCCAATGTGTAGAACTAGGGCTTTACAAATTGGGGCTTTGCCGGAGCTTGTAGAGAATACAGCAAAACCACGTGTGAGATCTGGGCACATAGGTTGTTTCTAGCAATGTTGGGCCCCTTTTGGCTGTAGAACATCTTACGGCATCTAAAACTCAGGGGTACCAAAGTGGATCCCAATTTTTTTGGGAACTAAACCCTAGACCTGTTAAACCCTAAACCCACATGAGCTATAGTCTAAACTCCTAGTATCGCCCTTAATAACCCCAATAGTAGTTCCTTATATAATCCCCTATATAACTATAGTAGTTCCTTATATCATCCCCTATATAACCCCTTTAAGGAGTTTGGACTATGGCTCACACCCAGTAAACCCCAAGCCCTAAACCCCACATAGGCATGAAGCCCTCTACTTAAGGGAGACTAAAAACCCCAAACCCTAAGCCCTAAACCCCAAACCCTAAGCCCTAAACCCTGAACCCTATAGGGCCTATAGGCATGAATCCAAGTCTGGGCTACGCACGCTGCTATCGAAGTGCTCCGTCCAATCTGAAGGCAAGGGAGCCTCAAGAGCCTGCTTGGAAACACAGGAAGTTCGCCTGAAGGGTTTAGGGGTTTAGAGGGTTTAGGGGGTTTAGGGGTTTAGGGTTAAGGGGTTTAGGGGTTTAGAGGGTTTAGGGGGTTTAGGGGTTTAGGGTTTAGGGGTTTAGGGGTTTAGAGGGTTTAGAGGGTTTAGGGTCTTAGGGTTTTGGGGGTTTAGAAGGTTGAGGGGTCAGGGGTTTAGGGTTTAGGGGTTTAGGGGGCTTCGCCTAAAAAAATAGCACACAGCAACACAGACGTGGTGAAGAACTGAGAAGGGGACCTGTAATTTGGATGTCCAGCCCAACATGAGCTGTAGCCTAAACTCCCAGTATCAGCCCCTAGAATCGTCCCCTATATATTCCTTATACAACCCCTCTTAAGTAGTGATGTAGACTATAGCTCACATGGCTTCCATTAAGTTGGGCATGTCTAATCCCGCTATAAACCCCATATAACCCCTATCCTTGTAGTTTCCATTTTATTACCCCAACCCTAAACCCTATACTGTAGGGGTTTTCCATTTCATTTTCCATTTATCCCAATAAAACCCAACCCTAAACCCTAAACCCTATACTATAGGGGTTTCCATTTTCTTTTCCATTATCCCAATATAACCCTCAGGTCAAAACGCCTGGCCTCTACTGCTATCCACAAGAGGTCGTGGTCTGCAACGGGATCAATGCCCAGGTAGCGCGCGTACCTGAAGGTTATATGAGTCATAGTCTAAACTTCTTAAAAGGGACTATATAGGGGACTATACCCATTATAGGGCTTATTAAAGGGGATGCTAGGAGTTTAGACTATAGCTCATATACCTCCCCCCCCACCTTTTGAACAGTCCCCGCTTTTTTGTACGTATAGAAATGCTGTAAACCAGCAAAGGTTCTAAAAGTGAATGTCGTAGGCCCTAAACCCTAAGTAGTAGTTTCCATTTTCTTTTCCATTATCCCATTATGACCCCTATATAATATATAACCCCAATCTACTTAAGGGGGACCCTAAACCCTAGGGTTTTGCGGAGGGAGCAGCCGTAGAGCTCAAAAGAGAGGCTGCCGCCCAATCGGAGGTGATACTTGGCATGGCATTTCTCTGATTTCTATGCCACACTTCCTGAACCCTGTGATTCCTGTGAACCCCAAAACCACAAACATCTAAACATCCACAAGCCTGAAGTCTGAGCCCCTGAACCACCCTGATCCCTACTCCCTAAACTCAAATGTTCAAAGCCTTAACAGCCCAAAACCCTAGACGTGGTCCTTCGCATTTCGGCTGGGGTTGGGTTTATGAGGCCCAAGTCCCAAACCCTAAACCCCTAAACCCTAAACCCCTGAAGCCTAAACCCCTAGACCCTGAACCCCTAAAGCCCTAGACCCTAAGTCCTAAATAGTAGTTTCAATTGTATTTTCAATCATCCCTATATAACCCCATCCTATATAACCCCATAGAACCCCCCAATCCCAGGCCACGCTATCAACTCAGGCCCCGATGGCTTCAGGCCCTGCCAGCACGGCTCAGGTTCACGTTGTTTGGGCTTCATTTTATGGATTTGGGTTAGGGCTTCTAGAGTTTCAGGGCTCAGGCTTTTATGGATTTGGGCGAAGGTTTATAGAGCTTTAGGGTTCAGGCTTTTATGGATTTGGGCCAAGGTTTATAGAGTCTTAGGGTTCGGGTTGTTGCGGATTTGGGCCAAACCTTATAGAGTTTTAGGGATCAGGATGGAAGTGTCAGGTTCTGGTTCGAGTGTCAGGGGCTTTAGGATGACGTGCAGCAGCTGCAAAATTCAAGCTTGACCAGAAAAGGGGTTGCTTTCAAGGACCTCAAGTTAGGTTACTACAATGAGGACACCCCGCGTTTACTACCTACCCATACTATTATGGCAACTTTGCGTAAGTTCCTTAACAGCAAGCCAGAATAGTGCGATAGGAGTAAGACGGGTCATGATGATGATGATGATGATGATGAGGATGAGGATGAGGATGAGGATGATGCTGAGGCTTTTGGTAACAGGGGGCGACTAGGACGGTGATGATGGAGATGACGAGGATGATGATGGTGATGATGTCGGCGATGGTGAGGATGAGGATTACGGTTCTGATGCAATACTTATATCTAGACGTGGCTAGTGCAGAAACATTCAAGAATGAGGAAGCAAGGGATGGGAAGTGCAAGCCTTAAAGCCTAAGCAGGCGTTTATGGGGCGGTTCCGAATAAGAGGGACGCACCCATTATATGGGGAGTATGGGAGTCCCATGGGGTCCAACCTTTTGGGAATAACCCATGTCAAGTCTTGCTTAACAGCACTCCGGCCTGTCGCTGCTGGTTCTTGGTCTTGCTGATGAAGTCATTTACAGAGAGGCCAGCCTGTACGCCATCCGGTCTTCTTGCAAGTAATAAGAATAGAAAAAATATTGAAAAAATATTGTAGCAATAGTAATAGAATAGTATTATAGTTATAGGCTTTGCAAGGCTCGTTTAGGTTTTTGGATGAGGGCTTCAGAAATACAAATCACTTGATTGTTGCTGTGCCAGGCTTGCCAACCGTGACGATGATGTGGGTGTGATAAGCTTCTACACAAGCACTGCCACAGATGCTATTCAGGAATCCTTCCATCATTTTTACACTGCCTTTTTGGCACCGGATTCTTATGTTCACGCTCGTTCTGTTGTTGTGGTCGTCGTCGTCATCCTTCTTACTGCTGGTGTTGCTGTGTTACTCGTACCATTCCTATCGACTCGGGTCATGCGCATTTTGCGCACAATTCCTTCTCATTACTGCAAGTTTCGCAATTGGGGGACTACCCCAGCCTCAAATCAGAAGTCGTATGCCCGAGGCCTCATGCACATAACTCCTGACTCATGACCAAAGACCTTGCACCTAAATCCTTATCCCCTTACGTCCCAAGCCTTATCCCTAAACCCTCGAACCCTTTGTCGCGCTCCTGCTCAAAGATAGACACCCGCATACGATAATCCTCATCGTTGGAGGGGCCCCTCATTTATGGAAACCTGCATGTGACTGCTTTGGACATGCAGGTGGGGTTGCAAGCCAGCCTGGACACGAGTTGCCGCCTGAGCGCCGATTAGGTGGTGTTGGACAATGTAATCCCATGGTATTATACCCCAACCCTAAACCCTATCTACGCGCATATAATCCCATTCTTGTAGTTTCCATGTTCTTGTCCACTATCCCTATATCACCCAATATATTTGCGTAAGGGTCACGGAGGGGGAGTCAATCTGATTACTCTAGCTCCTGTCACTACTTCCACAGCAGATCTGCCGCACACGGATCATAGTATGAGGAGCATGCATTCCAAATGTGAGAAGAAAGTCGTGCTTTTCTTGCGGCAACTTAGATACGGGTGTCACGGTTCCAAAAAATTTCAAAGTCAGCGGCATAATTGGCGGCAACAATCGTGAAGAAACAGCCATATGCTGTAAATTCCTACACCCCCATAATGAATCAACAAAACAAGTTTCTACATAATTACGGAGCTAGCTGGTAGGCTACGATACAGCAGCGCAGCAGAACATGGTCCCATCCCTGAATGCGGCTCACCCACCTTCCCTGATACTAAACTCTTTATTCCCAATATAGTAACATTCAACACCTGAAGGCTTGTTTCATTAGTTGGCCTTCGCAGAGGGTGGTCTATTATCAGGGGTCAGGGGTACTTCATTCCCAGCCCTACACCCTAAACCCTAAACCCTTAACCCTAAACCCTAAGAATTCTCTGCGAGGAAGTCTGGGATGCCACGCCCCTGAGCGACTTTCCGCTACTGGCTTCGCAGCAGACATGCCTGAGACATGATCTTGGACCCCCACAGGGGCTATATATGGATTATATAGGGCACTGACATAGGGCTTATTAAGGGGGATGTTAGGAGTTTAAGACTACAGCTCATGTGAGTAATATTCCTGCAAGTTGAGCCACTTAGGATTATACTGCGTCTTGAATTTCCATAACATGCAGGAGATCATCGTCTCTCTCAGAACAGACAACAGTATCCCCATCTTCAAAAACTGATCATGTAGGTGCGAGGTTGGAATTGTGCTGGGTTTGGGGGGAACATCACGGCCATGCCATCCAGGAAGGCCTCTTGGACGGAGATCAACAAAAGAAGGAGTCTGCCAAAACCTCAACCTCTAAACCCGAAACCGAGAATCCTTCATCACTATTGCCCTAAACCTTTCAAACCCTAGAAGATTACTTGACGAGAGGTTGATCCAGGTGTGGTTCGGCTCCAAGCATAGAATGCCACACAAACCAACAAAAACATAATCCTACTCTGCATTCGAATTCGCATGGGACTGTCGCAGCAGATTTCACATAATCTTCAACACACACCCCTTGCATTACATATCAGGCCTTGGGCGATGTGTAGGAACGAACCCTACACCCTATATAACCCCACTACAGTAATTTCCATTTTTTCTCCATTATCCCAATATAACCCCAATCCTAAACCCTAAACTATAGGGGTTTCCATTGTCTTTTCCATTATCCCAATATAACCCCCGAAAAACTGGCCTTCTGGCTCTCTCTTCTTCCGCTCGCCGTCCCCGAGGGCCTGGCTCAGAGAACATGGAGCTTAATGTAATTCCGTGATTAATAGGCCCCTCTCCTTTTACAGGCCTTAATTTAATAATAGGATCCCTAGTCTATAATTCCTATGAATGGCGGGTCTACATTAGGGCTTTGGGTGTAGGGTTTTAGAGATGTAGAATGTAAGGATTTCGAGGAGCCAGGGAGTCAGTGATATGGGTTGAAGGGTTTAGGGCTTCCGGCAGTTGAAGGGCTTCAGGGTTTCGGGGCTCGGGTTTAGCTTCCCACAGAAACTTCAGTAGGGTCTTGTCTTCTTGATATGCTGGGGATCACAAAGGGACTGTTGGGACGATAGCTTAGGACTAGGACAATCTTTTGTGAGGACTGAATGATCCTGAGAATCTATCCTGAAGTGACTCCATGGCCAAAGTCAATCCCATACCCAAAGCCTTCCGTTACATCCTCAACCCTAAACCCCTTTTTGCAGTGGGTCTTGAGTACCAGCCCAACTTGGCCTAAGTCCCTAAACCCTAAATCCCTAAACCCTACATCCCTAAACCCTACATCCCTAAACCCCAAACCCTAAATCCCTAGATTTGAAGCCCCCTGAAGTTCCTGAAGCGGCTGTGGAAGCCCAAGGCAGTCCTGCGCGTCCAGAAGAGGTTCGCCGTCTTTTCTATCCTCCGGTTACAGCGGGGGGTTTAGGGTTCAAAGGGCGCAAGGGCTTCTAAAGCGCAGCGTTTTAGGGTTATAGTCCCCCTTAAGGAGTCTTATTAAAATATACCCAAAGCCATATTCTATCTACTTAATGGAGACTATAGGGTTTGGGGAAACAAGGTCTTGGGGACCCTTTAGGTAGAGGAGTGATACCCCCTCACTCTGAAAGCAAAGTTCCTTGCTCAAATCTGGCGAACTTTGGAGTATGTGCAGTGGCCTCTCAATTAACAGAGCCGTGGGTTGTGGGGACCAACCAGAAAGCTTAAGTAGGCAGCTCGTAATTAAATGTAATGCGCAGCATAATAATCACTAACAACCCTCAAGCCCTACACCCCAAACCCCAAACCCCCAAATCCCATAAACCCTCAATCCCTACAGCAACTCTGACACTTCCCCAACCCTCAGCCCTAAATCCTAAAGCCTTAATCCCAAACCCCAAACCCTAAATCGTAAACCCTAAAACCAAAACGCTAAATGCTTTTTGCAGTGGGTCTCAAGTACCGGCCAAAAACACCAAATACTAAAATCCTAAACCCAAAACTCCTAAATCCTAAGCCCTAAACTTCTAAATCCTAAACCCCTAGACCCTAAAGTCCTAAACCTAAACTCCTCAATCCTAAGCGCCCTCATTCTTTTCGTGGGGAAGCCTGGCGGCCACCCATGCCATCCTGGGACTTTCCTTTCTCAAGCCTAGGGTGTGGGAGTCTGGACAGGATATCTAAGGTTTATTTAGGGTTATATAGGATTTAGGATTTTAGGATTTCAGGGTTTAGGATTTAGGGTTTAGGATTTTAGGGTTTAGGATTTTAGGGTTTAGGGTTTAGGATTTAGGGTGGAAGGAGTAATTAGGAAGCTGTAAGGGTTTAGGGGTAAGGGAGACGGGATGAGGATTTAGGGTAATGGCTTGAACTTCGTCCTACTTGTTCCACTTATAGGTCTTGATACTGACATTCCAACTTTCAATCCGCTCTTTGGGTTTGGAATTTGTGGATGTTGGGGTGTACAGCTTAGAGTCCCCCTTAAGCAGATAGAATATGGCTTTGGGTATATTAAAATAAGATCCCCACATACCCCATATTCTATCTAACTAAGGGGGACTATAGGCTTGAACGTGTAGACTCAGGATGGGAGCTTCGAAATGGAGAGGATGTGCATATGCAAGGGTTGTAGATCAGTAGTCAGGATGATATGAGGCATGCTTAACGCTCCTCAACACGCGTGATGAGAACTCGCCGCCCGGAGTTGCCTTGAAGGGTACACTATGGGTTGGGGACTTTGACGCTTAGAGGGGCCGCGTACGTAACAGCACGCTCCCCCTTTCGTGCTTACCCTCGCAGAGCAGAGCCCAAAACTTTGCAAGAAATCCCAAGGTAGGCCGACAATACTTCTGATTACTGGTTAATATGGAATAAGGGAATTCTATAATCCAAAAATACTCACTGTATACTATATTCCCTTCTTCCCTACTTACCCCCAGTGTATACCCTATTCTCATGTTGTAGTTTCCATGTTCTTTTCCATTATCCTTCTATAACCCCAATCTATTCCCCACTAACCCTACACCCTATACCCTATTCGCCACTAAACCCCAGTATTTCTTAGGCTTCGACCGGCCCAGCTTGAAGAAGCCCATCGCAAACGCCTCCCAGGCGGAAGCTTGAAGCAAGGAAGCTTTTACGCCTCTAGCCCACCAGACCCAGGGGTTTAGGGTTTAGGGGATAATGGAAAGGAACATGGAAACTATATAGTATAGGGTTTAGGGTTTAAGGTTTAGGGTTGGGATCATATGTAATGGAAAAGAAAATGGAAACTATAGGGATTCTATAAGGATTATGGGGGATATATTGGGGTCATCTTGGGATAATGGAAATAGAATGGAAAAAACTACTACTACTACTACTACTACTACTACTACTTAGGGTTTGGCGTTTAGGGGTTATCAGGGAATGCGGGAGATCCTGAAGTTCCCATATGAACCTTCCTTCATTCTCTACCAACCACCAAGGAGTAAAAAGGCTCCCATAACTAACCTCGAATTACGCTGGCCCATCTCAATCTTGAGTAGGGCATGCCGAAAATGTCACGGCCAGGCCTCCCCTCCGCTTCGCGCAGATTTCAACTGATCCTCGGTCAACGGGAGACCTACAGACCATCAGGCCCCAAGATCTACGGCTTTCATGGAGCGGAATTGAGAATTTACCTCGGAATGTACGCTCCCTAGATCTTACCCTTCTTGGGGGGTTGGAATTGAGAATTCTGCGACGTCAGAACGTCCTTCATCTACCCTCATTCGGGTATTAATCGCCATCCCTACCACCCAAATTGAAGCAACAGCAGACATGAACCCCGATGTTTTTATGCTTTCTAGGGACCGGCAAAGGAAGGGATATGATAATGCAGGTCAGCTTCCCCTACGAAGTGTTGCCTACAATCCTCAAACCCTAAACCCACAAAAACGCTCCCCAGGGTCCAGCCCTCTTTTCCTAAAATTCTCCTTATAACCTTCGCATAAGTCATCCGGAAACACACAGCGTGCCAAAAAGCAGCCTCTCGCTCGCCCAGAGGTGTTATACCGAGGCTTGGACATGGGCTGAACAGGCGGGGGACTATGAACCGCCCTGAACCCATCTCAGTCTTGAGCATCAGGCGGACACCAGCACAGTGGAAAGAAGTGCAGGCAGCTGCAGATCGTGGAGTGTCTATACATGTGCATATGTATGCCCTAGGCAAATATGTCTGTGCGTAGGTATGTAGGTATCCAGGTATGAAGCTACGTGCATGCGTATGCATGTAATTACATGAGTATAAGAATATGTGCATGCTTGATTCTGCAGGTATGTATGCATTGCTCTATAATTTTGGGGTCATCGAATGGTATGCATCCAAAGCAACAACTCGCTACTTCCTGATATTGGTGCTCGAACTTTTTTTGCCTCACGCGTCATTTTCTCGATGCATTAGGGACATGCTTTCACTGGGCATTAGCAATTTCGTTGGGATCCCCCGAAAACCCTTGAACCCGAATAAGGGCTCTAGATTTGTTGGGTGCGTAAGGGGGATCCCTAAACCCTAAACCGGGAAATCATTTGGAGCTCATCATCATCTCATAGGCCCGCCCTGCCACATCAGAAAGCAGCTTCTCTATCGCTATGAACGTACCATGCACTTCTTTTGCGTGTTTGCGTGTTCTACTTACTAGCATCAGGTTATCGCCAGATAAAACCTCAGGGGCCACTACCCATTATTACCCCTATTAACCCCAATTTCCATGTCTTTTGATTCTCCTTTATTGAGGTTTTATCCCTGAACCCTGGACCCCAAGTGGTCGTTTCCATTTTCTTGCCCACAGAGATTCCTATGCAAGGCGTCCTGCTGGCTCGTCCCCGTGGATTCTGCTCAAGCTCCGAATATTGGCCTTAGAAGCACATGGGAGGAGGCCACTGGGTTTGAGGAACTTCTCTTACTGGTTCTTAGTGGGAATATGAGAATATAATCCCCATATAACCCCAACATAATATGTTCCTATGTTCCCTACTAACAACCAGTTAGTTCGACAGTATTAGTGTCTGTGGAAACTCCGGCGAGAGTTGTGCGAGCAGCTTCGTTTTGAGGCCTGAACGCCAGGGTGCTGGCGAGTCCTGGAACCAGTCTGTCTCAGTCCCGTGGGAATTTGGATATGTATTTAATTGGGGATTACTTTCGGATAGGGGAGAAGAAATGGAAACTACCACTTAAGGTCCATGGTTGAGGGATACTCCCCCAAATGGACAAGAACATGGAAAACGAGATGGAAACTTTGGAACTAGGGGGTTTATAGGGATATGAGGGTTTCTTAGAATCCGGGGTACCTTTTTGCAGGTCCCTATAATATGGATTATACTACTTTGGGGTCTACTTTGGGGTAGGATTCTAAACAAAGACTCTTGAGAAGCTCCCCAAAGCAATCTCTCTGGACCGCGTTGAACCATCCTAAGACATGAATCAAAACCCTAAACCCTAAATCCTAAATCTTAAACCCTAAACCCTAAGCCTTACCTAAACCCTAAGCTTTATACCGGAGCCCCGGAGCTGACTGACCTCGGTTGGGGAGATCTGGTGCAGGACTGGGGCAGCCACGACCTGAACACGCTTCAGGAGCTGCGAATCTGCTCTAGGTTTCTTTCCACTTCTGGAGCAGATATGGTGGATCTGAAAATACTAATCTAGGGTTTAGGGTTTAGGGTACTTACTGCACTATTCCTAGTTTGAGTAAGCCTACGAGCACTTTCTGCACCAACTTTGAGGCGGACCGGGTAGCCGCCAGAAGGGAAACCAGAGGCGCGGCCGCGAAACTCCTGGGCTTCTCCTTAGGGTTTAGGGTTTAGGGTTTTAGGGTTTAGGGTCTTAGGGTTTAGGGTTTTAGGGTTTAGAGTTTGGGGTTTAGGGCTTTAGGGTTTAGGCCACCCCACAAACCCAAAAAGCTGATCTTCAGAAGGCCCTTCTTATGGTTCCATGTTAGTTTTGGGACAGTATGTTTCTATTGGCCCTTCTTAGGGCTCCTTGTTTGCTATGGAGAGGATATGTTACTGGTGGTTCGCTCTTCTTAGGGCTACTGTGTCATTTAAGGTTTAGGCTCTATGGTTTGGAGTTGGGAGGAAAGGAATACGGGACCACCAACGGGAGTGTACAGACTAATGTAGGGTTAGGGTTTAGGGTTTCGTCAACCCTGGAGCCCTGAATCCCAGATCCCAAACCCCTTCAGCTTAGGCCCAAAATCCTAAACTCAAAGCCCATGAGCCGTAAATCCCCCCTGCACCCATAAGCCCTAAACCTTAAAGGACAACCCAGACTCTTGCTGCGGCTTTGGGCTTGGCCCATGGAAGGTGAAGCCCAAAGGATCAGGGGGCTTCGGCAGCATCCTCCGCATGGTGGTGCCCATGGCTTCGGGTTCAGGGTAGGGTTTCAGGTTCAAGGCTTTTCGGCTTGAGGCTCAGTTTTGCCGGTTTAGCTTCCCAGGTTCAAGGCTTAGGCTTCAGATTTGGGGTTCAGGGTTTACAGTGAGTGTGAGTAGGGAGCCTCAGCTGCGCGTTCAGGGGTGTTGAGGTTGTGCAAAAGACGATGAAGGAATCATACATGGGATGTGCACATGAATTTGCATCAGTAGTTATGAGTGCATGCTAACCCACACTGGCTTACACAAATCAACATTTTTGTACATACATACATACATACATACATACATACAGACAGACAGACAGACCTACGTATGTACATACGTACGTACGCACGTACATACACTACATTACAGTACATTACATTCCATTCCATTACATTACATTACACATTACAGCACATGACACATTACATCAGATTACATGGCATTACATGACATTACACTACATTACAGTACATACATGCATACACAAATGCATGTATGTGTATATATATATATATGAATATGTATAAGCATGCAGATATACACGCATGTATACTACACTATGTGCATTTGTACGTACATATATATGTGTGTGTGTGTATCTGTTCATATATATATATAGATGTATATGTACGCCAATATGCACATATGTATCTACATGTGTGCAATGCATATTCTGCATATTTGCCCGCAGGTCCTAGTAACCTGCGCAGGGAAGCCACAGAACTTCCCACGAGGAAGTTCACGCGCCATAAAGGGATTGTACCTTGCGCGGAGGGAGGAATTCCTTCACCCCACCCAGTGAGGCTTGACTTTGAGGGTTTTTAGATGGTGAGCCCCGGACTCTAAAACTTAAAGCTAGCACTGCAGGACGAAACGAGAAGATTTCAGAGCGCGCTGAAACCCTCCACGAAACTTACTGGTGATAATGTTAGTAGGGAATGAGAGAACATAGCCGCTACATAATCCCTATACAATTCCCACATAAACCCTACATAATCTCTACATACTATATTCCCCTGATCCCTACCAACCCCCAACAAGGAAATGCCAGGGGTACGAGTTGCAGACTGGTCGGCTCGGCTTCTTTGGCCGACTCAGGGCCTGTGGTTTGGGGGGTGGAGTATAAGATCCCAGGCCCCCTCAAGGATCCAAAAAATGGAACCCCCTAATAATCCCCTCGTTTCCCCAATGTAGTAATGGGTTCATATTGGGGGGGGTTCCATGTTTTGGATCCTTTAGGGGGTCTGGGATAGGGTGTTGGGGTTCATGTAGTGGGGCCTGGGCGGATTTACGAGGTGTTGTGGTGGATGTTTGGCTGTGCTGAGTGTTGGGATGCAGGGGTTTGAGATTTTATTAGGGTGTATACTGAATTCTGCGTGTCTTGAAGGCAGAAGGCTCTTGTCCGACTGCACGGGGCACTGGTTCTTACCGCAGGAGTGGCTCCATCTGAGAAGCTACCGTCGACATTTCAACAGTGTGAACAGATACCAGCTTGTTCGTAGGGAACATGGGAAAATAATGCCGAAATAGTCCCTAGGACCAGTAAGAAAACTCCTTGAGTTAGGGATAGACACTCAAGGATAGGGCTTGTCGCGTTTTACAAGACGTCCTTGGGTCCCCACCGGCGAGCTGATCGAGCGCTTGTGTACACCATTCCTGAGAGGTGTAGATCTTAGGTGGACCCCCCACACAGTAATAGTGACTAT